ACGTTTACCTCATCATGTACTCGAGGTAACCCAAGTTTACCTGATCATTATGCTCTGTTCAAAGCTTCTACGCAGAAAAATGTTCATACACTCTATGAAAGTTAACGACCACCTGAGGAGAACCCTAATATTTGGTGAAAAAACAAGGATAGAGTTTCAAAACTAAGATTTCCGTGTACAGACGTACTTTGTAATCTCCACACACGTAATACATATTTGCTGCCAACTGAAGTGTAAAACGACATCGCAGACTGCTATCACGACTATAAAAAAGAACAACACATTTAGAAGATAGTGGCAATTCGATAGAAATCAATGAGGCTTGATATATCAGTAATTAGAGATGGACGAGTAGGTAGTTTTAACCCCTCTCACAGCTGTTGGTATCTGTTGAGATGGAATACAAGTCCATGCAACTTAAAATGTATATCATTATACCGAATGTTTTAATGTTGTAGTTACCGAATCTACGTCATTACATTTAAAGATTCAGTAGAACATTCGAAGTGTTTGGTAATGTTGGGTTTGTGTTTTTTCTGAATTTACTGCCCTTTCTATACTGTATAAAACCTTGTCGTTCTTAAACTGCCATGTGACCAAGGTCATGGGTCTAGTCCAAAATCTCCTGACCTTAGGAGCTCATAAGGACAAAATAATATAACTTTGTTTGGACTGCCAAAGTAATTTGATTGACAGAAGTTTCCTTACGTTACATTAAGAGTATTGATACCGAATTTCAATGTAATTTTATTAACAGAGGTTTTCCTTACGTTACTATTTTATTGATAGAGGTATTCTTGCGCTATACCTTAGTATTGTTGAGACCAATATATATATAAACCATTTCCGTCTAACCCAAGGGTGTCACTTATGGGTCACAACTGCGACTCCTAAGAATATATTTCGGCTCCAACGCTTTATTTGCGACCCTCCTGGAACAACTGCATACTACAACGTACATCCACTGGATCAAACTATTCACATTTCATACGCTACCCAGCTACGCCATTAAAAATTTCTTTATACTTTGGCTACCAAATGTCGTACATTTACCATTCACACACTTCTTGATATCTAAACGTCACAACTTTTAATATATTAAATTTTACAGCAGTTAGAGCTTCGTCGTTATTCTACAGCCTTTACAAGATAACTGGAAATGTATGCTTATTGTATTGAGATGGACAGTGACATTATAGGCGCAGTGGTTCGCAGGTAGGTCAGCGATTAGTCCGAGGTCTTATAATGCTAAAAAATCGGGTTTTGATATCCACGGTGGGCAGAGTACAGACAGCCTAATGCTTAGCTTTTTGCTTATCAACAAAGAAACAAGCAACAATAGGCGTAGTGTAAAAATTGAGCGTCATTTGTATCATCATTGTACTTTGGTAAACAGTAAATTCAATATACTCTGATAATAAAATGCAATTAAAATTAAAAAATGTTTATTAACTGTCAGATTTCCACTGTCATTAATATCCATGTGTTTTTCTATCGATATTTCAGTGACAAAAGTATTAGTTTAGGTTGACTTGTGAGATCGTACTTACACAGTTGTTGAGAATGTTGAGATGTAAGGCCGTATTCAAACAGCTGTTGAGAATGTTGATATGCGAGGTCGTATTGAAACAACTGATGAGAATGTTAAGTTGTGAGGCCGTGTTTAAACAGATGTTAGTTTTGTGGTATTGTTCCTAAAACAATTTCTAGGACATAACTTCATAAATAAACATATAAAACTAGTTAAATACGGCAACATAAACAGTGTATCTGAATGAGCTGGTACAAAAAAAAAGGGAATTCAGCAGAATGTCTTATCAACATCAAACATGATTTAGTTCTTTAAACACACTTAACCTTTCACTAAACACACTGGAAACATATTATGTTGCATACACCTTTAATGATCCTTTATGCTCAACTATAATAGAATGGGTAATATATGGTAGAACAGTAACTGACATATGTTACTGACATAGTCGTGTCAGTAACAATTATTCCATCGAAAAATGTAAGAGATTTTCACGCCATACATTTGCCGTCACGGAAAAAGCCTGTAAATCCCAATAAGTTGTTATCACACGTGTTAATGTTCTCTGTTTAATGTAATATCATTTTATAAAGAACTTTTGATTACTGGTACTTTATTGTCTCAAACTTTTCGTGCACAAATTATTCTATGAATAATCATGTGAAATCAAGTTTTCATTTATTATTACCCCCCCCCTCCCGTGGCTCAGAGATAACTCTGAGCTAATAGCGATACATGTCGGGTTTCAATACCCGCAGTTGGCAAAAATACAGATAACCCATCTTGTAGCTTTGTGCTTAATAACAAACAAACTTTCTATTAAATTTGAAAATTTATGAATATTCACATAACCAATTCATATTTAAAAATAAATATCTATATGATGAAGTAAATCAAGTTTTTATTATTTTTATTTTGTTATTTCCTTAATATCAAATGTTATAATAATAGTTATCAATCATCATTTATTTCATTATTCCAGTTATTTATTAAGGTTCTGGCCTCAAGTATTCATCGTAATTAAACTTTCATCAGAAACATATACAAAGTTATTTTTCTTGCATTTATGGTTTATGTAGCTTAGAAAAATCGATAAGTTTGTTTGTTTTTGCCACATAGACATGTTTCTTGCCGAAAGATGGATTAACAGCGTTTAAAAAAGTTATTTTTTTATGTTTTTTGTTAGAAATTAAGTTTTTACACTAAAAGTTAATTATTCAATTAACCTTTTTTTAGAAGTGAGTTACTTTGTAATTATATGTATATCTATATATCCAATTTTAAAAAACTTGCCTATACCTCTGTATATTTGTACTAAAATCAATCCTGGGTCGTGGGTTGGTTTGTGTCCAGTGATTACCAATTAACTCAGTGAACCTCAAGATGAGCAATAAAAACATTTATGATAATGCATAAAAACATTTTGTGAATCTTCCAAGTAGTCTGACACAAAGTTAAAAGATAAGTTTCATTCAATATGCTTAATGGACCTCGAAAAACAAGCAAACTTTTTTTTCGGAAGAATGAGAAATTAAGTTTTCTTTCGATGTGGCCAAAATATCTGTAGAAAAACAAATCAGGTTTTTCAGAAATGACAAATTTTAAACGAAGTATATATTTCCATAGATATTTGGATTTATCTTTTTACTACACCTATAAACCATAATCTTACATAAATCTTTATATTATTTTTACTTATGTTTTGAAATTAAAGAGGTAATAAATGCTCTTTCTTAGCTGAGTGGGATAGGGGGGGGGGTTCATCAAACATCTCACAAGAATTATCATAGCAGCAAAGGGGGGAGGGGGTTTCATCAAACATCTCACAAGAATTATCATAGCGGCAAAGGGGGGGAGGGGGGTTTCATCAAACATCTCACAAGAATCATCATAGCGGCAAAGTCTCGTTTTGTTCATTTAGTTGTATATGGGTAAGTTTTAGTAGAGTGATTATAAAACAAACAGCTGGTTTTATTATGATATCTATAGTACAAACTTTTAGTGTAGATACATAGCACTTTTTCAAGTTTGTCTGAAAGACAAAAAATCCAAATCGAAACTGCTCAACAAAAATGTAAAAATATCACAATGCAAAGGTTAAGTTTTCACTACCCTTAATTTTTCAAGCTAGTCAAACCAAAGCTGCAAAACTAGTACAATTACGTCAGAAAACATTTTCTCAATGCTTTTTGTTTCGTTTATATTTCTATTTATGATGGGTGTTAAAACAGAACATACTGAAATCGTTTCAATTCTTGTGTTGACGATAGCATAAGAACAACTTGTTCTACAATTTTGGTATATTTACTAATGATAAGTGTCAGAAGTCCGCGATGATTAATGTACATTCAATCATGGGCATGACATCAGAAATGCGCTCTTTAGCAAAACAATGAAATTAACACATCTTTATAAGTTCAGAGCAGTCCCTCATGTAATTGTAAATATTTTATATAAACAAGAAAGTGTATTAAGCAAAAAAAAACTTTTTTTTTTCCAAATTTATTCACTTGAACTGTAGAAAAACCACATTTACTTCATTTTTCCTACCAAGCATAATCGAAAAAAAAGATATGTTTACTATTCTTTCAAAGACAAATTAATGATAATTTTACTAATGAAAGTGTCATGGTACCAAAATACATAAAACAGACAAATCAGTATTGAATAACATTTGACGAATCGTGTTAAATTTAAAGATAAATAATATAATATTTCAAAACATAAGTTTAAAAAACAATAACAGAATATACTTTCTTGATAAATGAACCAACTATTTCGATGTATCAGTAAATTTCTAAGACAATAGTCAGACATGGCTTTTACTTAAAGCATTTTTCACTTTTATTTGCTGTTTTATATCTAATATATAAAAGATATATTTTTATCATCCATCAAATCAGCATCTGCTATATCTGACAAATATTCATATTTGGTAGATATTTACTGTTCTGATTTATAAGTTGCTAATTGTGGCATCACATTTAATTTTACGCATGGCCTGACAATTTTATACTGTCCTAATCAAAGAATATTTTAACAATTAATTTCAAATTATTATACAAGTCCCCGCTCAGAATGGGACGATTAACTTAGAGTTCGTCGCACTATCAATATCAGAAATCCTTGAACTTAATAATTTTCAATTTCTGAGAAATACTTTATGAGTAGGAGCCATGGCAATGCAACACCGATATTAGGCCTAATTGCACTCGCTAACAGAGTATTACGTTTCCGTATCTCAGTCATTTACATGAGCTTTCCCACGTTCAAAGCTCACTGTAAAAGCGATTTAAAGTTTATCATTAATGGGCTTAAGATTGAAAATGTTGGAATGATCAAAACTGAAGAGAGAAATCAGTTTTAGATCTATAGTGGTAATATGTGTATTGTGGTGCAGTGGTTAAATAGCAATGTATTAGACAATACGGCATCATACTTGAAACTTGACATGGTATGTAATTAATAAAACTAGTAAATACTATTTTCAAATCTTGAACTAACTACAACATTCATGTTGGAACTGAAATTACATACTTATGGTTGTAGAGCAACACTAGATAATGACTTAACATCAATTTTATATAAACACTGCGCATGCAAAGTAGTAAAGTTCGCATAATGTTTGTTTATTTGCCACAAGAGGGCATCAAAGTAAAAAAATTATATCTACGAAAAGGAACGTTTAGAGTATACGTTTAATTCCGATATCGTAAAATTAAAAGAAATCTATACAATACAGTTCAAGGTATTTAACAGAAAGTGTAAGAAAAAATATATAAACAAATAAATGGTTCTTTCAAGTGGTGACGCTCTTCTTATGGTTCCATGGATACCCGTTTACGCTTGTCTTGTTTATACCATTGAGAAGTTTATCACAAGACGCCATCTTTCCATTGGTAGAGTTCAACAAAAGTCTAAATCAAATATCTCCACATTTAGCAACCTCAGGTACTTAGTTACTTCAGATCGGTTAAATATGTTCTAGAACATTTAAAGTTGAGTGAATCGACGTTGAAAAACCAGTACATTCTCATTCAATATACAATTTATAATCACTCAAAACGTGAACCATATGCACTTTCTTACCATGCAATTTGTAGTTACTCAACGCATAAACTTTACACTTATAAAAACTCATTTTCGTTCTACTGAGGACTCGACATAACGATAGTTTCTGGAACCATCATCTTGCACCCGAAATGTTTGTCTGTTTGGTTGTCGTTTCAGCTGGGCATCAACACTTTCATGAGCCATATTGGCAAATACCATTTTTTCTTCATAATCATACTCACACAAGACTTTGTTCTCGTGTAGGTAAAACCTATCTCCAACACAGAACCTGAAAATATATCAACAAATAAACTTTCTACAGTTAACAGTCTAATAGCTGAAAGTCAAAACTAGTATACGTCAACACAAAACTCTCCCAAATAGCTTGCATGTTCTAAAACTTTATTCTGTGTATCTAAAAATATGACTCCTGTAAGTTTCCTTCACTTGCCTAATCCGCAGCAACAGTAAATATCGAATCAAGGTACGTTTCTCCTGAACGCTATTGTTTATTGGTTGCTGTTAATTCATTATCGCAATCGGAAGAGAGCAAATAGAATATGTGATTAAAAGCGTTTTCCGAAATCCCCGAAAATGGATATTAGATCAACACTGAATTATTAGTAATCCAAATAATAGACGATACTCTAATTTGAAATGTTATTTCAATGAAACTTTGAGCTTCGAATAATCTAACAAGTAAAACGATAAAACGTGTATGGAAATAAGAAAAACATTTTTTTTTTGCAGTACAAGCTATTTATGTATAACTTTTACTAAATTATTGAAACTGCAGAAGCAAAAATAAATGAACAGAATCAAAGAACATGAAACTTTGTTTGGTTAAAAACTACTTTAAATGTGCAATATCCAAAATATTAACAATTTTGCAGCTTTAAATGTTTTCTAATTTTTCTAAAACAATTTTTAACAGGTCGCTCAGGAACCAAAGGGTGTCTTTACACTACAAGTTGTTGAATATTAAAAGTAAGTTCAATCCGGAAACTCCCAAAGAGAGTGGTTTTGGGCGTATCTTTTCGAGACAACTTCGATACAAGTTTTCGTTTATTAACTGATAAATTTTAAAGTGAAATACAGTATCCTCAAGTCTCCATGCTAGCTGGTACTAAGTTCTACCTGCTGGGAGTTAATTCAGTATAAATCAATAAAGCCACATTCTTAGCATCATTAATTAAGCAATTGCCAACGATTTATGTTTCTGCTATCATCATTTTATGTTTAGCTTTCAATTTAGCTTACAAACGATTTTACCTGCGATTCGATAGGGAAGGTCGAAGCATCACGATAGTCAGCAGTAGGATGAGCAGACAGGAACACTTTGAAAGCAGTTACAGGGATATATTGTACTCGGCTTGCTGCCCAATATTTACCAAGGTGGTTCTAAACGGTTCCTGAATACCTCTGTGTGTCATGCTTTTTGTGCTTAGCTGTTCAGCTCGTGATGCGCTGACGGATACCAGTCGTCTTACCACTTCAAATCACTTTTCGCAGCCTCAACGCTCAAAGAGTGCGTGAAATGCCTTCTTTTTAGCCATTAAACATGTCCAAAAATTTCAGTTCCAATTAAGAAATACCGGATTAGGTAGTTTGTTTTGTTTTCAACCAAAATGCCCCCCCCCATTGGCTCTGAGGGGGGCTTGTTAACAAAAGCAAATTAAATTATTGGGCTAAAAAGGAAAGTATAATTTGACAACATTAAACTATCTGGGTATTTTTAAGCAAAAATAATATTTTAATACATAAGATCTGTTATATAAATCTATAGACATTAACTTTTAGATTTTCATGCCAATTAGTCTCATGTCCCATAGCAACATGACTGTTAATTGACCAATGAAACAATTAACCTAAAACCGTATTAAACATTGTTCGTTAATCGAACGAAGAAGATTGTCTTCTAACATTTTTCAAGACGCATAACGTAGGTAAATTAATATGTAGAATTATAAACGGACTTTCTTCTACGTTAAGATACTTTTATTACGAACTTTCGGCCTTCTTACCGGAGCCTTCATCGACAACAATGCACTGTTGCCCTTTCAGGTGATATAGTTTACTAAAAGAAGACTTACCTATGATTGCAGGTCTGGCAAGCAAAGCATTCCAAATGATACACGTTTCCTTTAGCTTTCATAACTAGTTCAAAAGCTGGGATGGTTTTATTACACGCAGAGCACACTCCTGATATCCCAAATAACCTAAAAATCCCATAGAATGAATAAGACAAAATTAATTTGAATATGAATTAAAGTTAAAATTAGTGGATTCTGCATAGATACTTTTATTACTTCCATTGTTATCGGAAGGGCCCCTTCTTTCTAAGAGGTACAAAGCATAAAGGTTCAACTCCCTTGTGATTAATGATACATGGCTGACAATTCATCAGCTATTTTTCCTTTAAATTTAAGAGTGTTTTCATAGTTTAACTAGATCTAGAGTTTAGGTACATAATTCGTTTATTAGGCCTAACTTATATAGCAATATTTTGTTACCTTTTATAATTATTATTATTTATTTTCTTTACTAACAACTGGGAAGAGTACAGTTAGCTTTTCCATTTTCGAAAACAAACCACGGAGTTATTTACCATGTTAAGTCTATTCGTACATCAAGTGATACTTGTATAGAATATAGTATCGTTATAGCTATGAAAAAAAAACCAAAAAAAAAAACACTTGAATTCTATGACAAAAATTTTCCAGTTTCTCCCTTTAAGCTGACAGCTTACATCTTATTCGTAAAAAAAATCAGCTTGATTTGAATGATGAATATACAACTATCAGAGATACAAAAAGTAACAGTATTAAAAAAAACAATTTTATAAGAAACTTGTGTATTCAAAGGTAGAAGGAATATTCAAAAACTGATAATAAACGGTAGATACATAGTTATAGCTAAACATTTCAAAAATAGTTACTCGACATACTACACAGCTTAATATACGGCATATATTATCAAAAGTCTAAGATGCTACAAAACAATCACACGTTAAAACAGTTTTAGGCAAATATTTAAGTGTTTTAACCTGAAACTGACTAGGCTCTTTCTACAATTAACTTGAAAGTTGCCAGAGAATTCGACCCTCTGGTACGGAATTCCGAACTGTCCGAGTCCTAAGTGCATTTCACTTATTAATTACTAGATTATCTCTAGGCGATCCTAGAGGTAATTTTAGTTAGTAATTGATTGTGAGTTTCACAAGTTGGTAACTAATAATTACTGACAAACAGTTTATTCCATAAAGAACCCCCTGGAATGATGTGTGGGCGAACACGCGTGGAATCAAAACGGCAGCCTACATACTGAAATAAGTTTACAAAGTTTAATACCATGTGGTTTTCATAATGCACATTACAACGCGTATTTCGAAATTAAGATACCGTAAAATCAATAGGTTTCATAACAGTTCTTATAAATTACAAGATCCTTTCGTTAAAATTTTATATCGTAAAATAGTTTTATGAGTAAAATGTTTTGATGAAATAATGAAAGAAAAGTATATGGTCTATACCAGTCAATATAGAAAACATGAAAATATATCATAAGCAAACATGTCACTTTTCACTTTTTGTGACACTTGTAAAGTCAAACAATTAAGATTTGTAACACAATCACATAATTAAGTTTTCTAACACTTGTAAACTCAAACAATTAAGCTTTGTGGCGCTTGTACAATCACACAATTAAGTTTTAACGAACTCTAAGCTTATCAGTTTAATTCTTAACTTTACAATTAAACTTTGTGGCGCTTGTATAATCACACAATTAAGTTTTAACGAACTCTAAGCTTATCAGTTTAATTCTTAACTTTTCAATTAAACTTTGTGGCGCTTGTACAATCACACAATTAGTTTTTAACGAACTCTAAGCTTATCAGTTTAATTCTTAACCAGAGTGTTGTTGTTGTTTTTTTGTGGCGAAGCTCAAATCACTTGATAGGGGCGGATTCAAAGGACCCCACCTTATATTTCGCCAAGCAATGTTTCTCCTGTAACTAAGGTTGAACTATTCTAGCCATAGTGATCAAGTGACACGTAACTCTCGATGCTAAACTATTATTATTTTAATCAAATATATATACTGATAATCTAGGATCCGCTCCTGCTTCATGATTTTTAATAAGAAATGCATTTTGCAGAGTTGTATACATGTGGCAAACTGACTGAAAAGTAACGGTGCATAATGGTAAAGCGTTATAATGTGACGGTCAATCCCACTATTCGTTGGTAAAAGAGTAGCCCAAGAGTTGGCGGTGGGTGATGATGACTAGCTGCCTTCCCTTTAGTCTTACACTGCTAAATTAGGGACGGCTAGCGCAGATAGCCCTCGTGTAGTTTTGCGCGAAATACAAAACAAACAAACAAGCATAATGGTAAAACAAGATAATAACTAGTATTCCCTGCAGCTTCAGTCGAGGCGGTTCGGGGTTCCCAAACATTTTAACTTGATTCACTGGCTCCACCTAATGATTGGACAGAAAATTTAGATACTAACCACTCTGAAATACCTCACTTTCACCGCAATCTGTTCTTGGGGGGGGGGGGAATCAAATATAAAAAACGTTGTGTTGTTATGTTTGTTACAATAAATAAAATCATCGCTGAAAGTATTGGTTGGGGTGGTGTCAGGGAAGTTTTAAAGAGTATAATTCTACATGAACTGTCCCACCCCCCATTGAGACCGTCTCTCTCGCTCTCTTGGGTCCCAGTTTGTAAATAACTGGCTTAGGCAACATCAATAGTCAATATTCATGAAACCCATTATTAAAGTGTGTAGTCATGTTAGTATCTTTCATGGGACTAAACTAGTTAGCATTTTTCATGAAACCCATTATTAATGAGTTTAGGCTAATTAATGTGTCTTAAAGACACAACAGCAGGTGCGTAACCCCCGTTTCCTGCGGTGCAAGCAGGTGAGAATACTTTAACAGCACCTCTGGACAGGATGCCGGTCCAATGCAGGCTAATCACCAAGCTATTTCTTTCAGTCTACCCATCTCTCAGACACAACGACTTTTTTATTTCGTCATATTAATTTGAGCATGAAATTATCTTTTTATGTTAATGTTTCTCATAAAACCTATTTATTCAAGTGCTTCAAATAGTTCGAATCTTTATTGAAATTCATTAAGGTGTTTAGGTTAGTCAGTGTTTGCCAAAAAACCCATTATTAACGTGTTCAGGCTAGTCAGTGTTTGTCAAGGAACCCATTATTAACGTATTGAGGCTAGTCAGTGTTTGTCAAAAAATCCATTAATGATGTGTTCAATCTAGTTCAGTGTTTGTCAAGAAAGTCATTATTAACATGTTCAGGCTAGTTAATATTCTTCAATAAACCCACTTTTAATGTGTTGAGGATAATTAGTGTTTTTCTATAAACCCATTATTAATGTGTTCAGGCTAGTTAGTGTTCTTCTAGAAACGCATTATTAACATGTTTGATAAGCTAGTTAGCATATTTTTATGAAACCTATTATTAACGTGTTCAGACTAGTTAGTATTCTTCAAGAAACCAGTTATTAGTGTGTTTAGACTGGTTATTACTACTTCTCATAGACCCGAATAACGAAATATTAAAACTGTGTAGGATGTCATGTGATTAATATTTTCTGTTCAAATCAAGTTACCTGCATAGATTAAAAATAAAATTTAATTTAGTAATGAATATAGCTAATTTAATATACTGTTATTACGTTCTTACTTAAACTTATTTCATCAGCTGGGTACCCTCGCTGTTAGCGACATTTTCGGCTCTTATACACACAAGTATTTTAGTAAAATAGCAGTTAAATACAGCTGTATGTTTGTTCAATTTTCTACACTAATCAACTTGAAATGTTTGTCCTTTTTCTATACATATTTATATTAGTGTTTAAAAGCTGTCAATACCTTCTTGAGCGGATATCTGGAGTCGAGAGACAAATGTTGGCTTACACCAAACAGAGATACTCACCTGAGATAATCTCTCCTACACAAAATGAGATTTGCCTTTGTAAACAGGGATGAACCGACCTCTCCTAGTCTACAGTTGCAGCACGTGCACTTGAGACAGTCCTCGTGCCAGAATTGGTCCAGGGCCTTCAGAAGGTACCTCTCTTTGATAGGTTTTCTGCAACCGGCGCACTCTGGTGCTTCTGGTACTGATTTTGACGACTCTTGCATTCCGTTCATTCTCCTGTTAGACAAGTGACTAGATAAAGTCCTAAATGCTATTACATTAGCTTTCCGAATATTAAGAAAATTAATATTAACAACAGACCAATTTAAAGCTTTAGCAAAAGTATTCAGCCATTAAAGCAGACCTTCGTTAATTTTTCTGCTCTTTCAAAATAAATATATGGTGTTCCTCTAGGAGAAGATTTAGTGTTACCATAAAAGTTTAACGCTTTATGAAGAAAACAGCAACAAAAACACTGAAATAATATATCTTATACGTACAAATTCATCATTATCAACCTATATCGTGGCATAGTCTGCTGAACATATGATCACGATATCTTCATAATAACATGGAGATATAGTTTATAACACCTACACACAGGTTGATTCTATTGACTACAGTTGTAGACATAAGAGTAAAAGAGTAATTGACACTTACGACACACCTTGTCAATCTGTGAACGACGTTCACTACAAACATTCTTGTAGCGCACAAGTACCTGTGCATATGAACACTTAAAAGAACCTGAAACTAATTTTATTTCCTACCATTCCATTTGACCTTTACACACTATGACAGAAATACCATAGTAACTTAATATTCACTTTTTTAAATCAAAATCTACTAGCGAGTGCCTCTGCTATTCCCCTCATTTACTTCAAACACACACACGATAGGAATAGCATTGTAATTCAGCATTTACTTTTTACATAACACCTACAAACGAGTGGATCTGCTTTTCGTCTCTATTATATCCTGTACTATTTACTCCATACATACGCACGATAGAAATAGCAGAGTAATTCACTATTTTTATTTCATACAACACCTACTGTAATGGCTCTGCTATACCTCTCTGTTGTATCCTGTACCATTTACTCCATATATATGTACGATAGAAATAGCAGAGTAATTCACTATTCATATTTCATACAACACCTACTGTAATGGCTCTCCTATACCTCTCTGTTTTATCCTGTACCATTTACTCCATATATATGTACGATAGAAATAGCAGAGTAAGTCACTATTTACATTTCACGGTTATTTAGGTGAAACTTCATTAACGAACCTGCCGTTATAAGATTCGTGATATCAGTTTCCGACTATGTTTTTAAATAACAGACTAAAATATATCTAAATAACTCTACTTTTCGGTTAACATTTCTCGAGTGTTTATGTCTTTGGCAGGATAAAAGAATAACTAAAACGAGTTAACTTTATTGTTGGTTTATTGGTGAGTTCCACATATTTTAATATTTCTTTTTAGAAAATCTTACAATATTTTCCGTTTCAATTTTTTGATTATCCGTATATCGCGCAGTTCGCCGGAATGGCCAGGTGGTTAAGGCACTCCACTCGCAATCTGAGGGTCGCGGGTTCGAATCCCTGTCACACCAACCATACTCGCCCTTTCACGGTAAGAGAGAAGGCTGTCAAGTGGGTTGCATCCTTGACGTAAGAAACAGCTTTAGAAACGATGGCAGAACTTGCTCTGCCATCGGCTCAACGGTCCGCAAGGACTATGAGAAATGAAAAAAAAAAAATCGCGCAGTTCACGAAGAAATGATGACATTAATTCTTAATATTATGTAACTATGCAACAAAAGTTTCACCTAACTTGGTACTATTGCAAAACCAAGAGATTTAACAATGTCCCCTTCTTTGGATAAACTTTATCTTAAGAAAAGTTGTTATTTTTTATTTTGTACTAATCACATGGGTACATTTGTATTTACAAAAGCACACAAACACACTGAGCATCAGTATATCGCGAAAGAACTGCAAAAAAAAGAAAGAAAATAATTATTCATAATTTCTGATGTCCATATATATTCCCTTCCAATTACAATAAACATATTTTATTAACCTTAAACAGATGCAAAAACATGTTTCAACAGAACCCCCCGGGAAGGATGTGGCCTAAAGTAATAGTAAATTAAAAATCACTTTTATGCCACATTTGATTTTAGTTGTCTATGCTGATTCAGAGTTTTCTAACCTGACTGATGAAATTTCAAATCATTCTGGCATTTGCTCTTTGATATCAGTTTTGTTTGTGTTTTGGATTTCGCGTAAAGCTACAGGAGTGCTATCTAAGTTAGTCGTTACTAATTTTGAACTGACAGACAAGAGAGAAGGCAGCTACTAATCACCGAACCACAGTCTGGCACACTAACCACTGGGCCACGCTCGGCCCTCTCTAATGACAAAATGTTAATTTTATTCGTGACATTTTATATGTTATATCCACATGTGTCGTTTAATGTGCTTTTTATGTAAATTTGGATAACATTTTTTATATCCATGTTGCAGCGCAAACACTTTACATTGTTTAAATAAATAAAAACAATTCTAGAATCTTCTATAAAACAGATAACCGAAATATTAACAAAACAATCCTTTTTTTTTCATGTGCTAAATTAGTTCATTCATGCGCATCATCTATCAGTTTGTGCAAGGATTAAGGATGTCATACAGGTGATAAGGATTCAATTTCAAATAGCAAAATTGTGTCTATGCTTTTATCACCACCACTAACAATAAAAATGACGCCTATAGAAGCAATGAATAGGAAGTTTCTTGAAGGATGTAAAAGTGCAATATTTCAAAATGTCAACTTTCCTTATAAATAAAAATGAGTAACGCAGAAGGTACAACACTAAATAGTATGAAAATTATTTTACGGTCACCTTATTATGTTCTTATATCAATTGTTGTTGTTGTATATTGTTCCCTCAAATTTAACAAAAAAACCCTTTACTTATATTGTTGCTAATATTAAAATTCGGTACGTTAATTTTTTGTTTATGCTTTTCAACATTGTTAACATGTTAAAACTACAGTTAAGGTTTTATTTTTTTATTACGTGATTTATCTAACACCAATATTGTGGAAATATTTTATGGTGACTTTACAGGCTTTACTTTAGTTTAATTTGCCGGGGCTAGGAAATCGAGGGTCCCTGATTCGCGTTCCGTTGTTGCAAAAATCGCACTTCGCACTTTAGTGCCATCGGTGCCGTGGGTGCGCTATAAGAGGGACAGTCAAGTCCTAGTGTTCGATTAGAGTAATCCAAAAAATTGCGGTGGACACTGTTAATTATCTGCCTTCCCTCTAGTCTATCAATTCTAAATAGGGACTACTAGCGTACATAAACCTTGTGTAACTTAACATGAATATCCGAAAAAAGCACACAAAAACAAAACATTAAGGTTCGATTCTCTGCGGTGGACAGAGCAGGTCTCTTGTGTAGCTTTACGCTAAAACAAACTGACTACCCAATCCGCAAGAAAAAATCCTTTTCAGCAAAGTATCTATCATGACAGTGAGATAAAGCTTCTAATTGAAATACTGTATACATAGTTTAATGTATTTATAACTGACCTTAGCCAGGGTCATGAAGTAATTATTTTAAAACTATTGACCTTGACTAATGCTTATTGTATAAAATAAAGTTGTAATAATGAAGAAAGTGCCGCCACGTCTAAACAGGTTCAACTGTATTACATTTGTAGTGTCAACTGTTCTTTGTCACTCGAAGCTGGTGTTTTACCTGAAATACTGTCTTACTACACACACTGTACTGAAAGCTAATGGTTTTCATTGCACCTCACACGCATCATCTCAAATTTCAAACAATGCATCACTTCGAAATTGTTTAAATATGTCTGTTCAGCTTGGAAATAAAAATAAAATAGAGGCCTGCTTTTTTAACTCAATAGAGGTATACGTCAGAGGTGTTTACGATTCTTTTCATCAGGCTTAGGAGGAAATAGCAATGGTTTTCCATCTAATCTAGTTTTAAATAGAGACGCTTCTACCTACCCTATGCCAAGTAATACATCTGCATCAAAAGAACCTATTGAGTCGAGGATTCAAAGCGCTCGACATAAAAGCCTTGGATTAGGCAGTAAAGCAGCAATTCCGACAGGCACTTAAGTGAAGATGAATGGTAGCATCTATGCAAGAGGCTATCAGAATAAAGTGAACTTACTCTTTATCAAGAGGCTCGTGTACTTGCCTGCTTAGACCTTATTTTCAGTCTGGACCCAAGTAGAATCGGGGCAAGCATTACACTTAAGACTCATTACCTAGTCGTCCACTGATCTCTATAGGGCTTTGAGTTTTAAAAAAATCTATATAAGCGTATTCTGAAGAAATAACCGTCAGTCTTTAATCTGCTTGAACGTTTTGAGACTTTTTTTGTGAAAAAGAAATGGCGTTTTCAGATAAGAGCTACGTAACTTGTTTTCTTGAAATTTCGGCTAACGATTACACAGCGCAAGTATAATATCCGAAACGGTTTTACTCCGTAGAATAATGAATAAGAATCTGTATTTCTCCTCTCGAGATCACGTATGTGTGGTGGCGAACCTATTCAATTGCACGCAAACTTGCTTATTCAATGATTGCCGGGTTTTATATGATTTTGTTCCTAATCACGTACCAAAAATATTTTCCCTCCATCTAAACAATAAGCAGGTTATCCAAGCCAGCTAAACAGTAGACAGCAAATCATATAACTGTTTGTAAAAAACATAATCAAGTTATGAATGTTTGCATATAAAAACACCCCAGATGTTAGATATGATTAATTATTTGTTAGAATAAATTACAGGCTCTAGATTACTATATATTTTTTGTTAAGCCAAGTCAAAAAATCCAACTGGAATCGTAGTCCTCTAAGGATAATTTTTATTATGTTTGTTTTTATATAATAATGGAGCAATGTTTACCTGCATCAGGACCTACTTGTGGTAGAAGCTTCAATCACTGTTATTTCACAGAAGTTTGATTAATTCAAAAAAAAAAGAGACGAAGAAAAGAAAACTAACGTCAATAAAACTCCAATATCCACTCTTTTTGACAGTTTGTGTAGTTGACCAAGTCTGGTTAATGAGAACTGGTCTCTGGTCCTAACTGAAAGTTGTTAAAACAAGGAGCGATTGTTGGTGACTGATGTCTTGTATCTTGTGTGTATTAACTTTGAGGTTTTTAAAGTCTCCTAGAAC